GAAAAAAGTCTCTCAAATGAACTCTGGAGCAGTGATATAATCTGCCTCAAAATAACACCTGTCCTGGTGTCTCCATATTGGCTGCCAGTCTCGTTTTGAAATACAGGTAATTTCTCTCTTTTAATTCTTCTAGTTGGCGTACGCATAATATAGAGTTTGAGGCCAAAAATCTTAAATTAATGTGTGATTATTGGTTTTACTCTGAGTTACAGACACCCTGCACAGAATTAAGGTGTCTGGGACTGACCAATGGGGTCCTGTCAGTCTGAACGCAAAACCTTCTTTCTTCCAGGTCAGGGGACGGGCAGCCCAAAGTCCTTGCACCTGTGTGAGTATCCCCCCGCCCCCCCTCTCTGCTTATACTGGGTCCCACCCGTTCTGTCAATTAAGTTTCTGAGGACTAAGCTGCTGTGTTGTCAGTGAATTACTGAAGGGAGTCAGATGTGTAGCTGGGTGTTCCAGGAAGTGACATCATGGGATTAAGAAAGTGACATCATAAATTGTGTTGTACATCAGGATCTGATGTAATGGGGTGTTTCGGGAAGTGACGTAATGGGGTTGTTTCGGGAATGATTCAGAAAGTGACAGAGTGAGCAACTGGGAGGACACAATTTGCGCCACCTAGTGGACACGTGGAAACACTAGCATGTCTCTGACCACAGAGAGCTTCCTCAGGGACTCACAGTGGTAGAAATTTGATGGGAGGTGATCTTGTCCCAGGAGGTGAGACATGTTGGGGAAATATTAATTTAAAGATCACTTTATTGGCCATGTACAATTTCTGGCATGAGGAATGTGTCTTTCACAGATCCCAGCTTGCTCTCCAGGAGACACTCAGACAGGGAGAGAAGCTGGGGGTCAGAGCGCAGGGTCAGCCATTGTACAGCGCCCCAGGAGCAGCTGGGGTTCAGGGTGTCGCTCAGGGGCCCAACGGAGTAGGATTCCTCTGCCGGCCGCGGGATTTGAACCGGCAACATTCCAGCCACAGGCGCAGATCCTGAGACACAGAGCCACCGCTCCGCCCTAAAAACCTCCTGACCCATTACCCCAACGCACCACTTACAAGCGCTGGTCCGTCCAGACCTGTGACCGCCTTTCTCCTGTCCCAGGAGGAGAGACGTCCTGACCGTCACCCCCTGGTTGGCGCCCATCGTCTGGGAAGGGACCTTTGACCCCTCGATCCTCGACGGCATCTACAAGCCCCTGAACATCACCGTAGCGACCACGGTGTTCGCCGTCGGCAAGTCAGTCAGGTTTTTCTTTCCTGCCGCACAAACGGGAACACGCAGAAGCTCTCAGGCATCAGGCTTTCTCTCAGCTGTTTGACTGGTGTTTTGGGGCCGTGTTTGGGGGGCGCTTGTGGCAATGCGGGTCTGCAACCAGTGTGGTCATCTCCTCTGCCAGGTGCCTTAATGCCAGAGTATGTCCCTGTATATTCACTCGTCTGTTTGGCCGCTCACAGCCCTCGCTCTTTCCTGGGTCCCACTCCTCCTCCCTTGTGCTCCCCAATCCCCCATTGGCTGGTGTCCAACTGGCGCGGTGTTGACCCTCAACCAATCTGAGTTGGTGTTGCGGTTAGGACCTTTTCGGGGTGCTTGCAGCAAAGTCAATCTGCAACCTGTGCGGTTATTTCCCCTGCCTGGGCGACTCCAAGCCAAAGTTGGCTTTGTGTCGCCTCTGTTACAATATGACCGAACTGCTGAATGCCCCTGGTTCAACAGCGCCGTTCCCGAGCTCTCTCGTTCTGCTCTTTCCCAGGTATATCCGTTTCCTGAGGGGGTTCCTGGAGTCGGCGGAGAAGCACTACCTGGTGGGGTTC